GTATGATTCCACGGGAGGTAACTTGAGGGTTGTTTGTCAGCACTGCTTTCCGATTTACAAAACGCCAAACGCCTCTGACTCTGGACGAATCGAGCGATTGACGGGACACTGCCCAGCCATCGCTGTTTGCTAGAATTTGAGCTATATTTTAAAACCCCAGAGGATTTGCTTTTATTCGCCATCCGTTTGTCCGTGCCCCAGGGACCTCGCCCTTCTCAAGCACCGAACCTTCTCAAGCCAATTGCCGAAGGGGTCTTTCAATTTCCAGCGCTCAGATGTCTTGGCAAAATTCAGAGCGGTGGGTCTTGGTGATAGCATAAGAACATCCAGGCCAGGTCAGACCAAAGGTCCATCTAGCCCAGTGTCCAATGCCAGGTGCCGCAGAGGGGATGAACAGAACAGGGAATCATCCAGTGATCCATCCGCCGTCGCCCATTCCCAGCTTCTGAGCTTAATATGCTGACCAGTTTGGGGATGGTTAAAAGATAGATGGCTAGATTCGGATCAACGTCCTTCTGCCTCCCTGGGTTTTCCACCGGGAACACGATGAAAAACCCAGCACCCCAATCGCCTGACGGACGTCCGCCTTGCCCTGACCACTCTCAGCGTGCCCTAGATCGCTGCCGTCCCCTCTCCCGTTGGAGAGTGCCACCCACAGGGGCTAATGTCCGTTTGCAAACTTCATTAGAAGATAGAAACGCTCCTCCTGTTGTCAATCAAGGTCTTTATTTACACGCAGCTGAAATGTTTTTCATTTTATTTGGTCAGCTACTACCGCCCGCCTCTCGTCCTGACATTCTCCGATGGGCCGGGGGCCGATCAAATGGAGTATCACGGGTGAGGCCCTCCTGTGTGGCCTGGGGCCAGTGCTGGGTGTGGTGGGGGGACGGGGAGCCCAGCACATCCATCTTGAGCAAGTCCCCTTCACGTGGCTCCAGAGAGCCGTGGGGGGCGTCTGTCCCTGGAGCAGGCTGTGCCCGTTGAAAGGCTCCTGCGGGGGCGGGGAGGGGAGCAACGAGGGGCCGCCGTTCGCAGAGGTGGGGTGACCCCTGCCCGTGTGGCTGTGAGCTCTGGTGGGTCCGTCTGGTCTTATGCTTAAGTTGCTGTTATTTATTAGGTGGGGGAGGACGGGAGGCTGCGGCCTTTGGCTTTCCTCGCACTCGGCTCTTACCTGGCCCGTCCCAGGGCGCTGGGGGGAGGACGCAAGCGCAGCTCCGTCCAGCTCCTGACGCTGGGGTGGGGAGAAACGGCTGGATCCAACCCGGTTTATAATTCACACCCTGTGAAATTTCTTCTCTTTAAAAGAAAAATCCCTCCCCCTTCAGGCTGTGAAAATGTGACTCGTTCATAAAGTATTAATGTTTTCCACTTCCGGCCTCCTGGCATCTTATTGCTGCTGACCAGGGGCCCAGCCGCGGTCCGCTTCTGCTCGGCGCTTGCCGCTGTACGTAGCCCTCACCGCAAGGAGCTGACGGGCCAGGCCGCAGGGCCAGGCCGCAGGGCGGCCGAGCTGGGTCTGGGGAAGCAGAGACAGCCAGGGCCTCGCCCGTGATGCCACAGCCCAGGAGAGGCAGAGCTGGGAATTTCATCTCCTGAGACTGGGCCGGCACCTTTTAATATTTGCAAAGCTACGGTGCGCCCGGAGCTGGCCAGGCGGAGCCGAGCGGCCGTCCACTCATCTCACAGGCGGGGGGGCTGGCCCTGGCCCTGTGGC